TCCCAGACACACACACACACACACACACAAACTGGGTGTGCATTCACTCCCAGACACACACACACACACACACACACACACACAAACTAGGTGTGCATTTACTCCCAGACACACGCACACGCACACGCACACGCACGCGCACGTTCACTATTCCATTCAGTCCACCTCCTTAAAGTCTTAATTCCAAATACTGCTGGTTAGCTTGGTATTCATCTCTTGACTTGAATTACAAAACCCTTCATCGGCCCTCTCGTTTTTCTTACTCAGTGGTTCTCAACCACAATTGAATGAATGCACGTTAGTTAGACTGCTATTAGAGCCTTATCAAACAATTCCACTGCCAGGCTGCCCCCTGCATCAATTATATCCTACTCTGGGGGTAAGGCCCCACAGTCTTCTTCTGGTTCCCCAGGCAATTTAATGTGCAGCAAAGCTTTCTCATTAGGACCCCTTTTGGCCCATTCTACCAAAAGTTCACTGTAAAATGAATTTCTAATCAAATCGACTCACCTGCTTAAAATCTTTTCACCACTGCCCGGACAACAAAACTCAAACTACTTATCTTGATACAAAACTCAAACTCCTTAGCATGATATATAAGACTTTACATAACACATTGAATGGTGTCCCTCAAAAGTCCTACCTAGCCCTTATACCTGTTGTTAGGAACCCTGGTAGCTTAAGGGGTAAACTCTGAGCTGCCTTCCAGAAGGTCAGCCGTCTGAACCCACACGCGGCTCCATTGGCGAAAAGCCCAGGTGGTCTGCTCCTGTGAAGGCGACAGCTAGGAAATGCTAGGGGGCAGTTCTGAAGGGCCACCGTAGTGGAAATCAAGTTGATGGCACACAGAATCACTTTTGGTTACAACCCTATTTGGGAAGGGGCTTTCTTTGCCATGTTAATGAGGCAGTCACAGGAGAATTAGTATAGGGTGTGGCCTTCCATCAATCTCTCTTGAAAAATTAAAGAGCAGATTGAGCAAGCAAATGCACCAAGATACATGCCACCTGGCCACCCAGGAGCCTGAAAAGAGACAAAGGCCTTCCCGAAGTGTGGACAGAGAGAAAGTACCTTCCTCCGGGGCCAGCGGCCTGGATTCTGATTTCTAACTATGAGAAAAGGAGCCTGGGAGGCATAGAGGGGTACATACTGAGCTGCTAGCTGCAAGGTCAACAATCTGAATCCACCATTCACTTTGAGGGAGAAAGAAGATATTTTTAACCGCCTGTAAATAGGTACAGCCTCAGGAGCTCAAAGGGGGCCCTTCTACTCTGTCTTATGAGCTGGAGTTGACTGACTAACTGGGTTTTCTAAACTGAGAACATAAATTTGTTTGTTAAAGCCACACATGTGTAGTGTTTCCATTGTGGCAGTAGCACTGGGTAACAAGACGTGTTCTGACGGCTGTCTACCACAAACCCCACTCACTCCTCCCATCATTGGAAAGAAATCAACGGTCAAGAGTCGACTGAGTAGGCGGCCTTGCAACACTGTTAGAAAGTTCCAGTCCTTGAGTGGAGGCCCAATGTCCTTCTGCTACCTTAATACTAAACTTATTAGTATATGCACATAGATCTATTTTCATATCCTCAGATATAAATATATTTACATATGTACATGCCTTTATTTAGACCTCTGTAAATGCCCTTTGCCTCCAAGCTCTTTCCTCTATATCCTTTGACTTTCCTCTTGTCCCACTATCATGCTCAGTCTTCATTTGGGTTTCAGTAATTCCTCTTGGTTACATTACCCTTGATCACGCTCTACCAGGCCTCCTACACCCTCCTCACCACCTATTTGGATCACTTGTTGTTCCCTTGTCCCTGGGTTTGTTAACACCACTACCTTTCCCCCCATCTCGCTCTCTCCCATGTTCCCCCGGAACTGTTAATCCCATTGTTTTCTCCTCCAGATTGTTCATCCTCAATGCAAGAATACTTTGTTCTATTAAACTGGCATTCTATGATGCTCACCTTCCCAACACAATCGCTGAAGACAGAGCGGGTGAATAAGCAAATGTGGTGAAGAAAGCTGATGGTGCCCGGCTATCAAAAGATACAGTGTCTGGGGTCTTAAAGGCTTGAAGGTAAACAAGCGGCCATCTATCTCAGAAGCAACAAAGCCCACATGGAAGAAGCACATCAGCCTGTGCGATCATGAGGTGTCGAAGGGATTAGGTATCAGGCATCATCAGAACAAAAAAATCATATCATTGTGAATGAGGAGGGGAATATGGAGTGGAGACCCAAAGCCCATTTGTAGGCCACTGGACATCCCCTTACAGTAACGATGAAACACAACTTTCCTCTAGTTCGTAAATGCTTCCTTCCCCACCACTATCATGATCCCAATTCTACATTACAAATCTGGCTAGACCAGAGGATGTACACTGGTACAGATAGGACCTGGAAATGCAAGGAATCCAGGGCGGATGATCCCTTCAGGACCAGTAGTGTGAGTGGTGATACTGGGAGGGTGGAGGGAGGGTGGGTTGGAAAGGGGGAACCGATCACAAGGATCTACATATAACCTCCTCCCTTGGGGATGGACAACAGAAAAGTGGGTGAAGGGAGATGTCGGACAGGGGAAGATATGACAAAATAATAATTTATAAATTATCAAGGGTTCATGAGGGAGAGGGGATTGGGGAGGGAGGGGAAAAATGAGGAGCTGATGCCAGGGCCTTAGGTGGAGAGCAAATGTTTTGAGAATGCTGAGGGCAATTAATGTACAAATGTGCTTGACACAATTGATGTATGTATGGATTGTGATAAGAGTTGTATGAGCCCCTAATAAAATGATTAAAAAAAAAAAAGAAAGCTCTAGTCCACAGATTCTCAAATTTTCCTGCATAATGGAATCATCTGAGGAGTCTTAGGCTTTCTGATGCCTTGGGGTGCCTGTAGGGTTTCTTATTTTATTGTTCCGGGTTGCAGCCCTGGGGTTTGAACTTCCTCAGATAATGATAATGTGCTGTTAAATCTGGAGCAGCCACCGGAGCCCAGGGAATCCCATCCCTAGCTTAATCTACAGAACGACAATACAACACACACCACCTATAGTGCCTGGACCTCATTCCAGACCTGGTAAATAAGAAACTCGGGGAACAGGGGGATGTTTCTGCTGCCTGGAGTGCCTATGATATTTCTGCCATTCACCTACTCACTCTTCTGGACTCAGCAGGACTGAGTCCCTGGGGGAAGCCTGGGCCACCCTGGAACTGATGTTCACCAGCCATCACACTCTGTTCACCTCACCAAGCACTTACTTCATTGGGCTCTGCTTCCTTACCTGACTCCCGTGTGAACTCTGTTTCCTTTTTCTGTGTCAAGCCCAATAAGTACATCTTAAATGGCAGACTTAGACACACACATACACGGAGAGAGAGAAGGCAGACGTGCATATGTCATGAATAGAGCTCTCTTGGGAGACCACAGGGGGCAGCCTGGGGTGTGTGTGCGGGGGGGTGGGAAGCAAGAGAGTTTTACCCAAGTTGGCGCTGAGTGTGAGGGGAAGCTTCTCCCTCCAGAGCTCGGCTGCAAGGACGCCATTGTAGTACACCGCCTGGACCCCAATTGTCAGCTGCACTTCCTTCTCCTGGTCGCTGGGGTTCACGAGGGTCACAGAGAACCGGGCATCCCCTCTCAGGGGCAAGGAGCTGGGTGCGTCCAAGAACAGGTACAAAGGATCTAAAGTCTCAACACTGGGAGGATGGATACGGTTGTCTTTCCCATGTTCCATCCTCTCTCTCTGGACTCTCTCCAGCACCAACTGTTCTTCAAGTGATCCTAAAGAATGGAAGGAATACAGCAAGTCTCTTACCTAGTATATGTGTGGTTGGATGGCGGTGAGTTGATTCCAGCTCTAGAAACCCCATGAGACTTGAGTGGAGAGGCCTGAGAGGGTTTTCCTAGGAGAGCAAATCAACAGGCCTTTCTTCTGCAGAGCAGGTGGGTGGGTTTAACCTGCCTACCTTTTCATCAGCAGCCAAACACTTAACCACAGTGCTACTGGGGGCCTTCCCTAGCAGGTATAACCCACCCAGTGCTGTTAAATCAATTCTGACCCAGAGCAACGCTATAGGACACAGTAAAATGGCTCTGTAGGGTTATCTAGACTGGAAATAGCCTCATACTTCTCCCTTGGAGCAGCTGGTGGGCTTAGAATTGCTAGCCTTTCAATCAGCAGCCCTATACTTAACCCATTATACCACTAGGGCTTCTTAGCAGGTATAATCCTTCTAATACAAGCCCATGATTAAAATCCATGGAGTCATTTCTGTTCAAATGCCAAAGTCACCTGGGCTTTGCAAACCTCTAAGCCAGTGGTTCTCAACCTTCCTCATGGCGACCCTTTCCTACAGTTCCTCGTGTTGTGGTGACCTCCCCAACCATAAAATTATTTTCATTGCTACTTCATCACTGTAATTTTGCTACTGTTATGAATCGGGTGACCCCTGTAAAAGGGTCATTCGACCCCCAAAGGGGTCGCAACCCACAGATTGAAAACTGCTGCTCTAAGGCTATTATTTTGTCCAAAAGTCTGTGCTGGGCATCTCTACCACAGATACAGTATGTTTCTTCCAAGCTATTCGATAGCCGAGGTCTTAAAGTGCCAGTGGATTTGTCCCTTGATCAACGAATAAGCAAATTTTGGACAAAACAACATTCTCTGAGGATGGTTTTCCAGTGACTCTTCCTCTGTGAAGGAGTTTGAATTCTTTTCCCTTTGGGCAATTCAGGCTATGAAATATTCTGCAACTGGGGAGAAAGAGAACCACATCTAGGTCTTTAAAAGCTCATCCTGGAAATTCTGGGAATTGGGAAGAGAACATGATGGAGAAACTGGAGGCCTGGGGACTGGTTAGGAGGTTGTTGCCAGATGAAAACTGGAGGTGATAAGTCCTGGATTAACTCTGCAATAGAGAAGGAGGTGAGGAGGTGTTGGTGAGAGTAGCGAAGACTCCAGGTTAGTGCAAGTCTTGGGGAAGTGGATGGACAATGGTTCCATTCACTGATTTGGAGGAACAGGTTGGGAGACATAAGCCGAGAGGGGGCAGAGAGAGAATGCACATCTTAAGTCTTTTTGCTTGGGATTGTTGCTGTGCTGTCAAAAGCTATCTACCAGTCATCAATTCAGGGGACCCCCATGCACAATGGAACAAAATGCTGCCCAGTTCTGTGCCAGTCCATGATTGGTTAAGTATTGGAACAGTGCAACCCATAGGATTTTCAGTGGTGAATATCATTCAAAAACCAAAACAAATGCACTGCCATTCAGTCAATGCTGACTCATAGTGACCCTATTAGGTCAGGGTAGCCCTGCCCCTATGTCTTCCAGAGACTGTAAGTCTTTATGGGAGAAGACCCCATCATTTTCCCGCAGAGCCACTGATGGTTTTAAACAGCTGACCTTGTAGTTAGCAGACCAACGGGCAACCACCATACCACCAGGCTTCCTTATGCCACCAGGGCTCCTGGTTAATATCACAGCAACATGTAAACCTCCACTGACAGTCAGGTGGTGGCTGTCCCGGAGGTCCATTGACTGAAAATCAATCAAATCTGGTCTTGCATGGAAGGCAGGAGTTCTACCATGGAGCCACCACTAACCACTCCTAAGCTTGGTATCAGGTATTGTTTTATGGCAGTGCTTTTTAATTGAGAGCAGTTATTACAACTTGAGGGAAGGGTAGACCAAGGCTAAACATCCTACAGTGTGTAAGTCAGACCCCACCACAAAAGAAAGACTGACAGACAGATAAGTAGATAGATAGATAGATAGAACTGGCCCCAAATATCAGCAGTTCCAAGCCTGAGAACCCCTGACTTATACGAGGGGGAAAGGGCTGGGACTGGGACTGCCTGGCCTGGCTCTGTCTGGCCCACTCCTTCCCTCTTTTGCAGTTTCACACACTAGGAAACCTGGCGCCTTTCCCTGTCCGGTACCTTCAGGATACTTGTAGTTCTGAGTGATGTCCTCACAGCGGTCACTGCCCACACCCTTGGTGCTGATGTTGTTGCCAACATACTTGGTGTTGGAGTTCGTCAGCTCCAGTGTCCCGTCCTCATAGCACTTCCAGACCACACAAGTGGCATTTACTGCAGCAAAAAGGTCAGCTACTCCGGGAGTTAAGTCTAGCATCCCCTCCTTTACGGCTCTGACTGGGACCAGCTCACAGGCATCCAGGACTGAGGGAGAGAAAGGGGGATGAACAAGAGGAGCCAAACTGAGATCTCTGCCCAGATCAGCGTGGCCTAACCCCAGTCCCTATCCTATACCCGATCGTCTCTCCCCTGGGACCCAGATCAAAGCAGGCCCTAGGCTAGGTTTCTAAAAGGATACCACAGAAGTGAAATTTAGTAATAATCAATATGGGTCACAGTCTGAAGCAGAAGGCCTCTGAGAAACTGGATAGGTCGGATCTCAGTGGAGCCATCTGTGTAGAAGTTCACAGGGGTTAGTAGCTGAGTGCAGTAACCATTTGCACCACCCAAGGGCAGTCTGACAGTTCTGTTCCTGGGAGAGGAAGAGCCATCCTTTTTATGACTCAGTGATTCCTTCTATGGGTCTCACTCTCTTCACTCACAGTCACCAGAAGTCCCACCCTTAGATTCCCCCAGACCCGGCACATCCACCAGCATCTTAAGACCATCCTTCAGAGATGGTTGGATGGATGATGGATGGATGGACAGATGGATGGATGGGTGAGTGGGTAGGTGGTTTGGTGGGTGGATGGATAGATGGAGAGGCTCAGTTCTTGGGCTCTTCTATCTCCAACACTGAAAAATTCTCAGGTCATCAAAGGTGGATGCTCTGAGGGTACCAAGCAGCCTCTCCCAATCCAAAAACCTGTGTGTCCACTCATTTTGGCATCTAATCACCAGATGGATCCCTTTGACCTAACGAGTATTTCTTTGAACTGGCAAACATGCTGGGAAGGAATGCCACTTTTTTATTATTAATAATTTTATTGGGAGCACTTACAGATATTATAACAGTCCATAATTCAATTTGATCAAAGCATTTTTTTCCTTTTTTCTTTTTAAAATCATTTTATTGGGGGCTCTTCTTACCATCCATCTATTGTATCAAACACATTTATACATATGTTGCATCATCATTTTCAAAACATTTTCTATCTACTTGAGCCTTTGGTATCCCTCCCCGGCCCTCCCTCCCTCATGAACCTTGATAATGTATAAATTATTTTGTCATGTCTTACACTGACCGGTCTCCCTTCACCCATTTTTCTGTTGTCCGTCCCCCAGGGAGGGGGTTATATGTAGATCCTTGTGATCAGTTCCCCCTTTCTCCCCCACACCTTCCCCTTTCCCTCCTGGTATCTCTACTCTCATTATTGGTCCTTAGGGGTTTAAAGAAAAGAAAAAAGACCATCCTTTACGAGCCCCCTCTCTCTGCCTGTTAACCTTAGCTGTGCTTAGTGTCTCCATAGGCTCCACCCTTGTTCCCTTAAGCTGGTGGGCCACTATCATTCAGTCTGCATTTCCTGTTTTAGAGGATACAGAGGGCCTTGGGAGCACCCTCTGCGCCCATCTCCTTTCCAAGGGACCCCTTCAGTTCTTGGCTTTTCTGAGGACCAGAAAGGATACAGGGATTCTGAACTTCAGGAACTACTACATGAGACCCCCCCACTTCTGCTGACCCTCTGGGTCTGATGTGATGACCCATCGTTTCATGGCACACTTCCAGAGGCGATCGGATTACGGTCGCCGTGGTTTCATAAACTCCCAACCTCAGCAGACACGTGG